ACGAGCGTAGAGGATTTAGAAGCAAGAGGCGTTTTTTTTTTGTTTTTTTTTGAAGTGTGGAGTTTATATATTAGCAAGTGAAGTGAAGTGCGGACTCAAAATGAAAAATTGCGTATATGTGCGTAAAAGTGAAGTTCAGTATTTATTTGCATCATTTATTATTAATTTCGTGGCCCAGGGAAATGTAAAGAAAGTACAAAGGTGTTGAAAATTGTGTTTGTTTGTGTGTAAGATAGAAATGTCAATTAAAAATACACTCATACTTTGATCTTACAAAATAAATAGACAAGTAACTACTGGAAAGACAAATAGTTACACGAATATAAAGGCAAATGTCCGTACACGTGTATGTATAAATGTACGTGTAGAGTGTGCATTAACATTCAAACCAGGCAGACCCGCTAACCGCAACCGAGAAACATTAGTACATCTGCCTAACGTCTAATTTATGTGATAGGTTATTATAAATTACGTGTAGAGTGTGCATTAACATTCAAACCAGGCAGACCCGCTAACCGCAACCGAGAAACATTAGTACATCTGCCTAACGTCTAATTTATGTGATAGGTTATCAATCACACCGTGTTAGGATTTGAGTCGGTGTCCAGGATACGGCGTTTGACTGTGTGTGTGTGTGTGTGTGTGTGTGTGTGTACGTGTGTATGTGTATATGTGTGTGTGTGTGTGTGTGTGTGTGTGTGTGTGTGTGTGTGTGTGTGTGTGTGTGTGTGTGTGTGTTAAATTAAATACTAATAGGTATTCATATAGTACCTTTCAAATCACTATTTCCGTCACATAAGATCCCTTTCGTTCTCTCGCATATATAACTTACCATTTTTTAAGGTTTAAAATAAATAAACAAACAAAAAATCACATTTATCAACCTGGCCCCTCACCCCCTATCTCTCCTTAACACAACAAACACCGAAATAAATATAAATAACAATAAAGTCAGAGGAAGAGTAGCATCGGTGGTCAGCTACGAGGGTCAAGGGAAGCAAAGAGCCCAAGCCAGGCGCATGACCTTCGACCTAACAAGGGCGTGACCCGCAAAATTTTACGTAATGTCACTGACGTTAACCCGACTCGACACACACGTACACGCGCACACACACATGCGCACATACACACACACACTCGTCGCGACTTCCTTGTTAGCATTTCTGTCGTCATGCCTCATTTAAAACGCCCCCGGAGTTTAAATATTTGCGTTTATTTCCGTGTCTGTTTTTTAAATGTTTTAATTATATTTATGTGGTAAAGGATGTTATGTAAAAAGGGAGTTGATTAGAGGAGAAATTAAGAATGATGAAGATGATGTGGTTTTAGCGAGGGAGGGAGGGAGTCGACCGCATAGAAAACGGAAATACTCAGGGAGACGGAAGTAAAAGAAAAAAAAATGGATACGTACTTAAAGTATCCTTGAAATCACCTCTCAATTTCTAAAATGTAAAGGCATACCGTTATACGTGGCCGCCTCGAATGTGTATATATATTTTTGGGGGTGTATTTTTAATTGTGCGAAGTGTGAGGGACCTTTAGGAATTAATTTTCGAGGAGAAATGTCGCAAGGGAAATCGATGAAATGCCGAGGTGGCTTAAAAAAAGGAAAAAATTATACGCCGCGGTAAAACAGAAATAAAAAACGAAAATTAAGAAAAACAATATCTTCTCCGGAAGCAAAATGGTAGTCTTAAATAATAGTGAAATTGATAACAATGATAAATGAATAGGAATGATAACAAATTAATGTAGCTACAAACATCCCATAGCAAAGACAAATCGAAATATGAAACCTTTCTCTCAACCACAATATAGATTTTATCTCTCAACCACAACAGAAATGTAAATTAATTTTCTTCTTTCTCAACCAAAATACACATAAAAAAAATAAATATAATTACAGAAGTGAACCAAAACGATCCGGTGTTTCGAGCACAACCGGTTCAGTGAAACAGTGAGTGAATCAACGAGATAAACAAAGAAAGGAAAAAATAAAAGTCATGATGAAGAGCCATTATAGTGTGGAACGTGAGGATGATATAAGGCTTAAAATCGCGTAAAAGGAAGTGGGAGACAAACCCTTAATAGCGAAATAAAGAAAGTGTAGATAAGCTTTATCATAGAGTGGTATGGGAAAACCCTCTTGGAGTCTCATTAAATCCTAATAAGAGAGGAAATAGAGTGAAAAGAAGAAGAAGAAAAAAGTGTTTTTTGATATACATTTACAAAGAAGAAAAACTACAACTGAAGAACTTCATCCTTTAGAAACACAAGGATAAAAAAAAAGATCAGAAAGAAAGGAAGAGGAAGGAAGAAAACAGACCTCAAATCCTTTAGAAACAAAAAACAAACAAACACACACAAAAAAAAAAAAGAAAAATCCAAAACCTCCCCCGTACGAAAACCAAAAAGATACAAATCAGAAAACAAGAACCCCCCCCCCCAAAAAAAAAAAACCTTACCCCCCCTTATCCCCTTCCCCCCTTTACGTTATCAA